TTTATTTATTTTTGCCACAATTGTAAAGTGTTTTGAAACATTTTATAATAATTTTTCGGAATTCTTCCTCAGGAATTTCCAAAGCCTGCCCTCCTTCTATAATTTAGTGTAGTTCTACCTCTAGGTCATTTGTCTCAGACATTTTATCTTGTTTCTGGACATGTGCTTGATATGGTCACCTATTTTTGCTTCTTGGACATGTTCAGTGTTTATCTGTGCCCTTAATACTTAACTGAGTGTGCGTTTTGGTATTTTTAATGCTTTCTGAATGACTCCAGGTAGACATGATCAGGAGGTGGGCTTCCCTTTTGACTCTTTTTATTGCTTAACTGAGAGTAACTTTCACAGGTGTTGTCTGCCTCCCTGGTGTACGGCAGTTGTATTGGTTCTTGCCTGGATTGTGGGGTTTTATAGGGTGTGATTGTAGCTTGACTATATAGCAGCAATTGTCTCTTCTTGGGTAATATATATAGAGAAAGAGCCACCTATAGGTAAAAGAGGTAATGAAAAAAACAACTGCAACAGCAAAAAAAAAAAAAGAAAGAAAGAAAAAAGATTGGATACTGTAGTCTATAATCACAAAAAAGAGAGAGAAAAGAAAAAAATAATCTATACCCTAATATGGTTATGACTTTAATGCCCTCTTTCAGCTTCTTGCCTTGAAGGCCACCTGATAAATTTCAAGATACCACTGCTGGTTTTTATGCTGTACCTCAGGATTTATTTTCGGCCTGTTTTGTTTTTAGACTCTCTACCACTCCACACCCCTGTTCTGGCCTTTTCCCTATTAATAAACAGTTCAGGGCTACCTGTGGCCGTTTTGCTCAGGCACCCCTTCTAGTCAACAGAATGCAGGTAAGCAGACAGTTAGAGGCAACAGATACCAAAAAGTCAGAATCAAGCCAAACAAAGAAACGTAAAAATACTGTCCATCTTTGTCTCTGAGGTTTCCACAGGCATTAGTCTGTGGCAGGTCTGCTTTCTCCCCTACATGCTCTTGCCATGTAGTCTCACCCAAAATGTCAGCTAAGGGCCACTGAGCCCCGCAGATTCAAAAGTCTGAGATTTCTTGCTTCCTCTAAAAGTTCCGCTAGCTATAAGCCTTTAAACTCATTAAAGATTCCTGCATATGTGGTTCAGGGTTTTGAAGCTCTCCCCTATAACCATTTCACTTGGTATTCTGTGTGCAAGGTCAGTTTGAACTGCAAGTTCGGAGGTTCAAACTCACTAGACTCTGCTCAGAAACCTTACACAGGGTCACCATGGGTCAGAACTGACTCTACGGTGCTTAACAACCCCAGCAGTTTTATCTGCAGTCAGTTGCAACCCATTTTCCAACATACGATGTCAGATCTTTTGTGTGTTTCAGGCAAGGAAATAGGTTTGTACTAGAGAACTTACCAGTGGGATTCTGCTGTATGTAATATAGGTTTAATTTAATACACAAGTTAGTGTCAGTGTTGTATGCCACCACATATTAAGGGTATTGGAAGGAAGTGACAACTATGGCTCTGTCTAAAGAAACTTCCAAAGCACATTTCCTTTATGATTTAAGGTACCCTTCGGTGTAGGGATCAGGAAGTATTGCTGTACCCCCAAGCTTTACTTGTGGCCTTGAGAGAAATTCATTCCAGGGAAATGGACAGGGCATTGAAGGCACATCTTTCCCCACTTCTCTGAAAACAGCATCTGCTGATGTAATTACTCTTGGTTGGTGTTGCCTTCTTCTCAGCCTGGTCTGTGACTCCCTAACCCTTGCTAGGTTCATGGAGTTTAAGTCAGAAGAGGAGATGCAGATTCAGAAGTTACAGCAGAGAAATGGGTCAGCATGACTCTGTCCTCCGGCTCCACAAGAATTCCATCCTGTAAGGTCGTCAGACACTGAAGCTGGCCATCACCCAGGTATGGCTGCCCAAGTTGTAACAGAAGCTAAGGTCTACAGGTCAAAGGAGGTTGTAGACACTGGCCATGCATAGGGAACTACATTGTCATCACATCTGGTACTGTCCTTTTAAGAGGGACCCATGCTTATTACAAATGAAGAACTTGACAAGAGACTAGGGTTTCAGCTACCCTTCATTACACACTAGATAGCAATTTGGTCCATTTTAATAAGTA